ATGTGTGATTTTTATGTTTCACCTAATTTAACTATTTTATCATTATATTTATTTTATCATTAATTCATTATATAAATGCACCCCAAAAAACAAAAACCTTAATTAAACTTAATTATACAACTCAAAACTTAATTAAAAGTACAGAAGATTGTTGAGGTTAGCAGCCACAAAACAAAGGAAACAATCAGTAAAGAAAGTCACGATGCATTCTCTGCTGCCTGTTTAAAAACGCGCGAAAAAAGCAAGAGAATCTGGGAACATATAAAAATAAATAACGATATTTTAAGATACATAATTTTATTAATATAACTAAAAACATAACAAGTGACATATACAATTTTACAGCATGCTAGTTGCTCTTTAGATCGATTTTTAAGTGGTAATGTCTTAAGCCGAAGAAAATGCTCTCACTCGAAGTTTTATCATATTCTCTTAAAGGTTTTTACTAACATCATTATCAATATCAACTCCACATACTTTCAAGATAATTATAAAAGCTCACTACTTCTGCATCTTTTAGTAACTCCACAGTCACTCTATTAATGTTAATTTCTTGCAAATGAATAATATTTGTTTCATCTTGAAATTGAATTTTAAGCTTTCTCAAATATTTGCTGGCATTCAATACTAATATCTGTAAGTCCACAATGACTTGTTTTTTTTTTTAAATTTAATTTTGTTATAATAGTGTTTTTTAATATTTTTATAAAAGTGTTATTTAATATTTTTATTATATTTTAATTTTCAATGGATTTATAATTCGGGCTATTTTTCAATTATTTTAAAAAATTTCTGACAACATACGCAGCCAGATATTGCAAGGCACCAATTTCATCATTTGTTTTTGTTTTACTTTATTGTTGGGCATTCTTTTAAAGTAAGCAAGCACCTTTTCAGCCAGTTGTGTGGCTAAAAGAGTTTACTGGTAATAGAAATTACTGGTTTACAGGTACTAGAAATTACTGGTTTTTCCTAATTTATTGGTTACTATCTTATTGTATAAGCTGAAATAATAATAATTCTCAGCATTGTTCGTATTAATCAAAACTTCATAAATTTTATTTACATCTGCGTAAAGTACTTCTGTTAATATGAAGTTATAACACTTAATACATTTTTGTTGATTTAAGTTGTAACAGTTATCTTCAGATTTTTTTGTGACTTCAGAACTAAATTACTTAGTATTGTGCTACTCATTGAATTTCTAGTTATATCAAAGATCTCTTTTAGTTGTAAATGTTTACAGTTCTAATGAAGGGTAAGTTCCCCTTTTGATTTACAAATGTTTCCACAGTCGACGCACTTAAAACTGCTTGGTTTTGACTCCTATAAGAAAAGAAATCTATAGTCATGCATTAGTTACATAGCCTATTTTTTAATTAAATATATTTCTTGGGTAAGTATTTTTACCTCTGTAACATCTACAACAACTTCAATAATAAATTCTTCATCTAAAAGACCTTCATCCTGAATATCTATCAATAAATCTGCAGGCTCCTGTGTTAAAAACTCGTTACCAGACGCCATAATATAAATGTTTTGTAAACTTTTTGGTCATGTGATTAAAAAACTGTTTATGTCGACATGCTCAGCGTAACAAGCAATAACAATCTCCGTGAGCATGCGTCGTCCGGGGGACGTCCATTAGACGTCTGTGATACGTCTAACGGACGTCCTCCAGACAATGCGTGCTGACTGAAATGGACTTCGTTATATTCTGTTAACTATGTATAATAGTTTAATTATCAAAAATCTCGTTTTCAAAAAAAATAATAAATGTACATTTAAAGGGCTTTAATTTTTTTTCTAAGTTATTAAAGAAATTTATTTACAATTTGTTAAAGTATCATCGCACAATACTTCTTAGATCTTAGATTTAGCTTTTGATTTTTACATTTTCAACTATATAACATTTATTTTAGGGTAATGCTTTGGTTAGAGACGTTTCACAAAAAAGTTTTATTAGGTGATCAGGGTGAAGCAAAAAAAGATTCAATAATGCGTGTGTTTGCAGCAAACAAAAAAGACATTATGACGCAGAATAAGAAAACAAAGTTACTTTTAGATGATCTCCAAAAGCAACTAAAGAAAAACAAAAAAATTACTAAACATATTCTACCAAATTTTTACTCTAAAAACTCTACTGATTGATGACATCTGGATATGGATTTGTTAAGTCAAAATTTGCATTAATTGATAAGAAAAAGTCTAAACTATTCACGTGAATTAAACGATTTTCATGATAAATATCAGTCAAAAATCTTAAACGAAATAAAGACAATGCTCAATTTTAAAAGCATTTTTGTTTAGTCTTAACATCATGTATATCTGTATGTTATACTTTAATATCTTGTGCATTTTAGTATTATATCTAACTTTATATTGCATGTACCTTATTGTAGTATTTAACTTTATATCGTTTGCAATTTTATACATAGGCACCATAATATTATAATGTATTAACGTTTGAAAAAAAAAAAAAAAAGCCTTTAAAATTTTTTATGAATTAAATAATTGGAACAATCTGTAAAAAAATATATTGACTTGTTTTTATTTCTAAGCACAGTAGTTCTTATTGACGAGGTAGCTAAAACTATTATCGTTGTGATTTTGTAGATAGGGTTTGTCCATAAACGACATGAGGGGCTGGGGTTCAAAAGGAAGTTCACAACTGCAGACAAAGATTAACATATTTTCTGGTGACAAGTGAAGGATTCAAGATACCTGATTCAATACAAGAACCTAACTTGCAGCTTAGTGAATTGTCAGTTGACATTTAATTGATTTGTAATCAAATGTTTAATCTGTCTAATCAGTTCAATTTTTTCTAGTCGTTTTAATTGATTTATTTTTGATAATGGTTTACCCATAGACCCTTTAAATCCATCCTTGGAGTTTGTAGGTCCATCAAGATTTGCAATAAGGTGTCTTAAAGGTAGCTCATTAGTATTTAACATGCAAATTGACCAAAAACATTTTCGTCCAATAAGTTTCTGTTACCAGATCCAGTCAATGAATTAGTAGAATCTTATCCAATCACAATTATAGTTTGATCAATTCCTCTAGGAACCATACAGGTATAAGACCGATTGCTCCTTCTTTAGCTGATTTTCTTGGACCCTATGAGGGTGTGTAATGGGTCAAATAGCTTCAATCTGGTTCAGAAGTAATACTTATATTTTCTTGCTTTTCTGTTCTTCGACAAAACGTTTTAATTTTTGAATCTTCAATCAAAGTTAGAATGGGATCTTTTCTTCCATCTACAAATATGCCTGTGATGGGAGCATCAATATTTAGTTTTTTTGAAAAAACTCTAGTTTTAACCATAACCTCTTGTCTGACTCTCCGAATTTTTTCAGAATCATATGCTAAACAAGCCATATTTGGAGTCAAGTAATTTAATTTGATCAAATCTTGAAGGAAATCAGATATCAATTGCATATGTAGCAGCATGAGATATATCAAATCGAACAGATGCTAGTGCTGTATTAAGGATCTTCAAGTAACTCTGTTGTAATGGGGATGTTTTTGTATAATATTATTTAAGCTGTCTCATGAGGATTCTTCATTTACCTCTTTAATTTTTTCAGTTGAAATTTCGATTCAAGTCATGCCCCACTAATTAATAAACTTTGTCTTCAATGTTTTCAATTTGAATCTTTGTATATAAGGTTTTATAATCAAATTTTTTCTTTTTTCTAAAGACGCAAGATCTGTTATTTTACGTTTTACTGCTTTACCTTGTCTTTCTGCTTCTTACTTGTCTTTCTGATTCTTCCTTGTCTAGTTGGTCTATTTGGTAGCCTGATTTTTCATCAACCTTACCTCTTTGAGGTCTGAGCCATAATAAATTGATTTGTGGCACCTTAATAGCTTTAGAACAAATGCATAAAATGTGAACTCCTGAGTTTGAAGCAGATGTGTCAAAAGACAACAATTATCAATATTATCTGTTAAATCCTATGGCACTACAAAAGAAAATGTAGTTGTAGCTTAACTAGACACAGTGCTATCCACTATTTCTGAAACGCTTAGCAATTTATCTTGTTCGTAGCCTAGAGTTTCTGAAATTAATATTGCTAGTCTATCTGATCGTTTCTTGTCAGGGTCAGCCATCACTATCCCATTTCAGTACAAAATACAAACTTTAGGAGCCACAAACGATAATTTTAATTCATCTTCCATTATAGCCCTATTTTCATGACAATATCGATGACGAAACTTTTTTTTTTTAATTTGTAATTCACCTCCCCAAGGCCTAGAAGGTCACTAATGATGAGGAGGATACTTGTGGTTATAAACCTCTCTCAACTCTATAACTCCGAAACACGAACCTTGACGAATAAGGACGCTGCGCGGAGAAACAAGTTGAGCGTTGTACTACCAAGGACGTAGTGGGAACGAACTCCGAACCTCTCGCTTATGAAACGTGCGCTCTACCACTACACTACTACCGCATTATTAACGCAAAATAGCTAATGTCTAAATCAACTCCACTACTTTTTAGCATTGCACCTGTGATCCCTGTTGCTTGAATAAGGGGTAGATTGAAGAGCTTAGCCATTTGACAAACCTCTTTACCTTTTAAATGATTACTAAGTGATCTAGCAAACAGTTCTTTCTTAGGCTTTTTTAGGGGAAGAAATCTTCATCTGTATAATCTAGACTTTCATCATCTTTCCGGAATTTTCTAAAATCACTTGTGTTGATTAATCTATATCTTTTTTTCGGTGTACTGTTTACTTGAGTGTTTCTATTATTTACAATTATGCCATTTTCTTATATGTTTGTCATCAGAGCCTGAAATGACTTTTTTACTGTCCTTTATAGCCTCTAAAAACATTAAGTCTCTTTCTTTTGGTTTAGTGATCCTTAAATTCTCAAATTTAACAATATCAGCTGCTCCTTGATGTGCAATATAAAAAAACTCTTTAAGTCGATTTAAAACTATGACTTTTTATCATTTCTACTTTTATGCATGGTTAAGGTTCTGTATGATTTACACAAATTTTTAGTTTCTATTTCACTTTGTCTTACCTCTGTGTTTTTATTTCTGTTTTCTCCCATATAGCACACAGCTCGTCAGATATCTTACTACATATTTTTTTGTTGTTGTTGTTTAGGTGCCTCAATAATTAATATATATATATATATATATATATATATATATATATATATATATATATATATATATATATATATATATATATATATATATATATATATATAAATTAAAAATTTGGAAATACTATTAAATCATAATAGCTTATTCAAATAACCAATTAACTCATTAATATTTTTACATTATTAGCAATAATGTATTTTAATGTGTTTAAAAATACCAATAAAAATAAAAAAAAATCAGTAATATCAAACTTGTTATCATAATCTTTGATTTTTCTGAACATATGCGAAAATAAAAGTTTACACTGATTTTACTTGTTTGTTTACTAATAAATTTATAAGTAAACAACATTACGCAAGAGGTGATGAAATTTAATGGATTTTTTGTTCCCAGCCTCCTATCATCGCAATCTTTTGCAAAGCACTATTATTTGACATAAGTATAAACACACAACCGCAAACCAGTTTGTTTATTACTATTTGCGGCAGTGTATTCCACTGCAAAACAACATGGTTCGTGAATCTGTCTCTTGGCATGCAATTGAGTACTCTTTGCTGTGCAAGTCTTTGATTATGAAAACGTATAATATACTTTGACGACGAAAGATGATTGAATGGTACGTGAAAGTTTATTTCATCGATTTCACGCATGAACTTAAACATCAGAATTAAATCACTTCTTATTTTTTATTTTTGAAGTGTCGTAAAACCTAATATGACTTTTCGCTGCTCTGTGATACGATGCTTAATCTCAGAAATGGTGTTTGTAGCACGATTTTGAACCTTTTCTAGCGCTTCTATGTTTACCCGTTGGTACGGTGACCGCTTGGATAACGTACTTCAAGTGAGGATGAACATACGTAGTATACAGTTCTTTCCACAGTCAAAAATTACTCCTGTTAAAAGTTATTTTCAGTTTCCCTAAGGAGCGGTAAGCATTCAAAGCAGCTGCTGAAACTTGAGCATTAAGTTCAAAATTATCTGAGATAAGAACTCTAAGATCTCTCTCTAAATGAGTAATTTTGATTGTAAGTGGCAGGTCGTCTGGTCCTGCCATGAAACAGTCTCGTTTTTATACTTTTTTTCCTTTGCCAGTATGCATGACTTTATTGCGTGACTAATCAATGGCTTTGTCTAAGTCTGCTTACAGATTCTCCGCGTCCCGGTCATATTTTATGACGCCGATAATTTTGCTGTCATCAGCGTAAAGATTGATCTAATGTTCCAATTTGTGTGGAAGATCATTAATGTGTTATTTTTTTCCAAGAACTCACGGACAACCATGTTACCGTTTAATCCCGGAACTTTGTATTTCGTTGCAAGAGCTGAGAGATAAACCTAAAATATTCCATACTTTTATCACACATTTTTATTATTTTGCAGTGTAGATTTTTAGTTCATTATTTATGCAGTGTAGGTTTTTTTTTTTTGATCTCTTTATTTGAATAATTTATCTACATTTTTATTTAAATTAATTTAATTCCTATACTTCTGAGCCTTTTTTCATTTCCTGTACTTCGTTTAACATATCCACTTTGTTAAAATCAACGTTGTCCGGACTCGGTGAATGTCTTTTTCTTTTTTTACACATGGTGTTGCCTAAATAGTTAAATTAATTGAAATCAGACAAATTATAGAAGATGAAGTTATAAAGTACAGCTATAAGAAAATGTTATTTAGATCACACCTAGGGTTGGACTGGCCCAGGGATTTAGGGGGATTTCACCAGCCCCTCTACTCTTATTACCAAAAAACTGTGATTGAGGCTTTTATTTATTTTTACTAAATTTTTTGCTAATATAAGGGCCCTATTTAAGTCTGAACAGTGTCAATCCGACCCTGATCACACTTATGATAACAACACAATCATTAAGATTTACTAAATAAATTCGTCATATCATTTCACAGCACTTAATTGAGACAGTTCGTTTAACTGCATCTCGTTTAGATTCAAAATGAAGGCTTGTGCGAATCTTTATGTAAGCTTATTCCGATTGACGAACACCAAACAAATTATTGGTGTCTTAACTATTTTTTTCCCAATGATTTTCAACAGTCGCTTTCAACTTCCGGTGGGATTTCCGTAGTTTCTTTTTTTTATCGGCAGAAGATAACTTTTTAATCAAATTGTTTGAGGGCAACTTTGACAAAACCTTTAGAAATAGTGTGTCATAAAAAGAATTCCAAGACGTGTTAATGTTTTCCAAGACCAATTCGCGACTTTTTTTGCCGATGGTTCACTGAAATCGGAAAAGTATTTTCTGCTTTATCACCGTTTTTACATAAATTACAACCATTAAGTGTATGTTTTTTTTGCATAAAAGGATTTAATGCTTTCCATGCATATTGGAATAGTGTTTTATAAACTTAATTCTT